TATATATAAAATCTTTCCTCTAATCTTTCCTAGCTAAAATATTATTATAATTATTGTTATTTATACATTTACATTATACATATATTATAGTAGTTTTTTTTAATACTTTTTGTACATATTAATTATAATATATTTTCAAGGTACACAAAGACACTTTAAATAAGACACACAACAATCACACATCATTTTTAAAACACATTACATTACAGTACAGTACAATTTTTAATTACACATCTCTGTATCTCAGATAGATGCCTAATATAGCAGACACTAGAGGTGGCCTTTAAGCAGCAGATATTTCAGAGACATGACTATAAAAACAAAGCCGTGTCATCCAATCAGAAGTGAGAGTCAGATGTGTGTGTGTTTTCTGGTCTCTGTCAGTGTGCGATGGCTCAGTCGTGTGTGAAGCTGTTGTGTGAGGATCCAGCATTTGGAGAATACATGAAATGCATCCTGATGGACGAGAGAAACTTCCTCAACAACAACATCGCCTACTCCTACCTCACCTGCTTCTTACATAAAGTAAATACTCATCTACTTCTCATGCAGATTTACTGTAATCATGGGTAAATCTTGTCTAGTTCTGAAGTAACTACACGACTCTCTTGCAGTTTGAAACTTGATTTGTTTGTGTGTTTAGGTGCAGGTGCAGGTGTTATCAGGCCAGAGCTGCTCGAATCTCGTCAATGTGTTGGTGACCAACCTACTGAACGAGTACCACAGCCTGCAGCCTGAGCTGACCAATCAGAGAGCAGAGATGAGCAAGACCAGCAGCCTCCTGAACGCAGTCAGTACAGCTCCTCACGTCTCACCCAGCGCTCCAGCGCTCTTTATTCATCCGTCTCTCTCTCTCTCTTTCTCTGTTGAAGGATCTGCGTGCGCTGCTGCTGGTGCTGTCGGTTTACGCCCCTCAGCAGCTGGACCCTGCTTTAGGCCCGGCTCTACAGGAGCTGCTGTCCAAATGCAGACTGTGTCTGCAGCACCACACCACATTAGAGATGGAGGCCAAGGAACGCAAAGTCAAAGGTGTTAATACAAGCTCAAATACGCTTATATCACTGCCATGCATGGCTTTGAATTATTAAAAAATATATAATATATTATATTATTAATTAATAATGTATTAATTAATATAATTAATTAATAATGAAAGTTATTGTTTACATAATATATATGTGTGTACTGTGTATATTTATTATGTGCAGCAGAGAGAGATGGAAGGTAAACTAAACTGCACATACTACTTTATTAGTGCTGTCAAACGATTAAACGATTACACACACATTGTATTTACATGTATATATTTATATTCATATAATTTATATTATATGTAAATATATTTAAAATATAAACAACTTAATTTTCTTATATATACATGCATGTGTGTGTATTTATATATGCATAATAAATA